GGTAAGACTCTTCAATATCTTTTTCGCTCTTCATTCCTAGTTTTTGGGCTAACTCTTCAAAAATTATTAGTCAACGATAGAAACTGGCTTTGTTTTTTTTCAACTTCTAACTCGGTGTTAAAACTATTCTCGGTTTTTTCAATGAGTTTTTTCTGCTCTTCCTGTATTTTGCGGAAACTTTCTACTGCTTCTTTATAATCTTTATCGGCCGGATTTAATTTTTTTCTACTTTCCTCTCAACTTTTTTCATGACTTAAAATCATTTTTTGTTTCACTTTTTTCCAAAGTGGATTTATCCTAAATGACTCTGTTTCCGAATAAAAGGTTAATAGCAGTTCATTAAAATCAGGCTCAGAAACTAATTTTTTAAATTTATAGTCAGAAAAGTCGATTTCAAAACTATTGGCTCAACTTAGATAAAAGTGCAAGCAATCAATTAATTCTTCTTGGGCTTTTTCTCAATTAATATCTTTTTGGCTTTTTCAATGCTTAAAAGTTTTTAATTCATTAGCTAATTCGCTAATTTCCACTAAGAGGGCAATTTTAGTGCGAATAAAACTGGCTGTGCTATCAGTATCAGTTAGATTTTTTTTTTGAATGATGAATTGGTCTAATTTGGCTTGTTCTAGTTGTAATTTTTTTAAAGTTTTTTGCGATAGCATTTTATGTAATATTTTTAGCAAGTTACTTAAAAATATTCCTTTCCCTAGTGCGGTTATTTTTTAAATCAAAACTCTTTTAAATTTTGATATTCCGGATCATTTTTAATCATCTCATGTAATTCCTTGGTGTATGTACGGTGTAAAATTCCGTGCCCTCCTTCGTCTATTTCTTCGCCATCCTTCAATATTTTATGTTCATCTCCTCGATAATAAAGCTTTGTGCTATTAATTACAGCGTGGGCTAATTCGTGAGCGATGGTTTCGATTAAATTACTTCAACCAATAAAAATACTGGCAACTCCCTCATTAGTTTTAGTAAACCAGAAATTATATTTCTTTCCTTTCCGGCTAAACGGGAAACTTTTGTGAAGAGTTATTTTTATATCACGACTTGGGCATATTTTAAAACGTGGTTCGTCGTTAATGTGAATATACTTCATATCGTCATAATTAGTTAAACCAGCGGTTGTAGTTCCTTTTTCTTTATTTTTGTCTTTTTTTTT